AATAATAATGTATTGATGGTAAAATAAATTAAATATATATTTCTGGAAGTCTCATTAATGGAGATGACATACAAACACAAGTAGAATGCAATATGCATTTTCAAATATGCCATTTCAAAACCTACAGAAAGCTTTCTCATATATATTATAACCTTGATCACTGGATATAATTATAGCTTCACTGTTTGGGCAGGACAAATTTGGAAAAACAGTATTCCACTAATAATGATAGAAGAGCAGATAAGGGGAACCAGTAGATCACTGTTTACTCCCCTTAGCCCTTCATACTCCACAAAAAATAAAAATAAAAAAATATATCATCATTTTAAAGATATAACATGAAGCTGGACATAACTCTCCAAAACTCAAAGCACTAGAAAAAAACTACACTTCCCTTGGGTTCTTGACTGTCAGGCTTCTAATGGCAGCACTGTTCAACCACCCACTTCTCAAAGGAGTTTCTTCCATCCCTGTCACACTGATGTGGGCCCAGGTTTGCTCAGTTGATTTAAACACTTGTAAGTGAGATAACTGGAATTAGAAAGTCACTTTTCAATTAGACTTATTAGGACAATTATTGAGCAACAGAGTAAAAGCAGCCTTTTGATCACATGTTTTATTCCATTTCCCCTTCTCGTAGACTCTGTTACAGGAAATCTCACTAACAGTTTCAACATTCAAGCGCAGCTCCCTACAATATAGTACATTATATACTTCTATGTAGTTTTTTTTTCTTAATGTATTTTTTTTTTTTTAAATAATCCCCTCGAAGACCACCTTTTTCATTTCCCTACTTTCCTAAAATACTGGTAAACAGTCATGAGTCTCTTAACAAAGGGACTACACTCTGAGAATTGTGGGGATAGACAGCCCTTCATCACTGCAAAAACACTAGAGTACACTTTAAGAAGACTACGTGTAACCCAAGAATCACTTGTATAATCCACTCATCAGTACACAAGCCTACATATGCTTCTTTGTGAATTTTTTCTTTTTACCAATAAAAGAGGGTTAAGAAAATACCAAAGATAATGGAAATTTGTGTACAGTCATAGGAAAGAATGATTTCTGGTGTACCAATGAACTTTTAAACTTTTAAGATTAATTCATTCTTCATTGTAAGACACTGAAAAAAGTGTTATTACCTGGCACATTTAAGCAGGAATAATCTAAGCAGCATTTACCATGTAAAAAGCACTGAAATCGGTGTACTAAGGATTAAAGGAGACATGCTTTGTTATGCGGACAAATGCCATGTGGTATGGGATAGCCTTACTCTGAAGATTTACCACTATGCTAAAATCATCATCCAGTTAGTAGCTATTGCGACAGAGGAGAAAGATATATTATGTCTTCCTAAGGCTCACTATCCAAACATATGAATATGGTATTAAACTGAACAAATCAAAAGCCAAAATAAAGCCACACTATTAAGAGCAATTTTAAAAAATATTTTTCTCATTTCTTTTTTGTATATGTACAATGTCTAAGAGGAGGGCAGGAGATGGAGTGTGTTTACTCTTTCCACCTTTAACATATATTCTGGGCTAACTCAGGTGATCATGCTTGCATGGCAAGCACTTTTATCTGCTGAGCCATTTTGCTAGCCCAAGAATATTTTTAAAATGTCAGCTAGTATTAGAATATTGACTATTATATAGATTGAGTAAATTTGTTGAACATTATACCATTTTTATTGTTATATCAGCAGGATATCTATTTAACTTCTCATTCAGCCGAAAATGAATACACTTTTTTTTTTTTTTTTTTAAATAAAGACATGTTTTTCTTTTGCTAGGGAGAAAAATCTATCTGGACAGGAAAGTGATAAACTATCTAATACAGATGTAAAGATGTACTCATCTGTGTACTTTTCACTCTCTAAATAAACCAAGCATTAAACTTTGAAGAACAAATTCTCAATGTAAATTAGCTAACAGGTTATACAGTATGTGCAACTTCTAACCACTACCTGCCCACCCCCTTGACTTTTAGGGAGGGCACCTGGATTGTTGCTGAAAATGGAAAATAAATACGTGCTTGATTCTTTGTGATACTTGTGTCAGAAAAACAGATGGACAAATAGGTAAATGAGAACAGTGCAATGGAAGTGTTGAACGGGGTGGATATGAGATAAATTGAGGGGGCTTGGGGGAAACCTTTCAGTGACTCACACGCCACAGACCTCGATGAATAACGTAATCACCATGCTTACATGCCAAGCGATTTACTTTGTCATGCTCTGCTCTATCTTAGAATACATCCAGGAGGACTAAGCTCCAGTGCTCTTCTGCCTAACCAACACTTAATGACAAAGACTAAAGGATGTCTGTATCTACCCTTGTGCCCAAATCTGGGCCATAGGCTCTTTAACCCTGCCCCTCCCACACCAACACACAAGTTTAGCTTCTTAGATTTATGTATGTTGACACTGAAAGTTCTTACTTAAAATTCATTCTGGCCTTCCAGTCCAAACATAAGCAGTTGCAAACACAGCAGGTGACAAACTGGAAGAGGATGGTTCCAGGGCATTCCCTACAGAGAACTACTTATGAGTTCAGTCAGGAAGGAAAGAAAAGGAAGCAGCAAGAGCAGAAGTGCATATGCCTTTGACAGATGTGCACAAACCTGTGGAGGAGTCACATCTCAGTTCTAGGCTAGCAAGGTTGATGCTGTCTGACAGTGAGCAGGGCTTTAACACTCATTATCATTGGTAAAGCAGTTACATGAACCACTCAGCAATTCATTCTATAACCATTCTGAAAGCATTAACAGTCCACCATTCAGAAATGCTCTATTACACACTGGAGACAAACACCAAAAACACTGAAGAACTTCCTAAGGAAAAACTGAGGAGCTAGTGAGATTTCATTTAATGTTTATGTACTAAAGTGTAATTATTATTATTGGAGTATTGCTTGAAAACACTCATGTGACTAGATATAAAACAAAGAGGCTGGTACATTTACTAATGCTGAATAAGGAACAATAACAGAACTAAAACCATGATATAATTATTACAGGATTAATTTCTTAAAGAGGTATGGCAAAAAAAAAAATAATTGATGTTTCAGCTCATATTTAAAATGATCTGTCCAAAGTCCACAATATAAACTGTAACTAAAAGTGTGTTAATAACATTCATTAACATGATGGTAACTGATGTTTCAGAACTAAAATTGCCTCACATTTACAGCAGTCATTCTCTACTACTTGAACACCATTGGATACCAGTGGACTGGCTCAAATTCTCTACAAATCAGAGAGCAAAGCTGAAAAGTTCTGAGAAAAGGTAGCATGGATCAAAAAATACAAATTTTTATCCCCATAATTAGTTTAGATTTCCTAACTCAAAAGAAAAAGCTCATGCACAGATAATTAAAATATTGATATGCTTACCCACACAAAGTTTTTTGATGTAGTTATATAAAACTGTTTTAGAAATTGTAATTAATCAAATAATTCTGTTACAGGCCATAGCTATAGCTGGTATGCATATTTGACACGAATTTGTGTTACACCCAGCTCCTCAGAGGCTACGTGATCATTATACTGCAGGTCTGATGGGATACATGGTGGTTTGGCTATTCACACATGTACTATAAGTTCTACTTGGAATGGCAATGTAACAATACCCTAATATTCAGAAGTTACACTTGGAGTGGCACACAACAATACCCTAATATTCATAATGAAAGCTTTCTAGCACCATGAGGAGCTTATTACCCTAAAGTGTAGAATGACCAATCTCAGCAGTTGGATGAAGTACTTTCTGCAGCTTACCATGGCTAATTAAAATAGTTTTGACTTTCATATAAGGCTTTATTCTCATCACACTGACCTGAACTGTGAATTTTTAAATTTGTTTAAGAATCAGTTTTCTAAGATAAAGCTTATATCTTCTACACATTAACATGTTAACATGTTATTTGCTGTTCCTCTATAAAAGGGTATTGGGGTGTGTGTGTGTGTGTGTGTGTGTGTGTGTGTGTGTGTGTGTGTGTGTGTAGTACTTGTAGGAAAACTATAAATTAAGTTTTCCTCTGATTTAAGATATCTATGATCAAATAGTTGAGTAGAATCCCCCTATTTTAATAGTGGTAAGCTATGTATGATTCGCTTTCCTGAAGAAATATCTTTGTGTCTGTATGTGTGTGCATGTGCGTGTGGTGCCTGGGATACCAAGGCACCAGCCCAAAGCAATACTTGCTTTTATCCTAATAATAAATTTCTATAAACTTTATGATGGTACTATATTACCATATTCAGGATCAGAAGAGACACTGACCACAGATAATTTATTCCAGGCACAGGGAAAATAATAATACAATTATATTGTTCACAATTCTCTTAAGAAAGCTTAATAATTACAAGCTAAATAGCATACTTAATAATTACAGTTAGAAGTAATTTAACCCTTTAAGTCCTTACAATTTAGTTTGTCTTCAACTCAGAGTGCCACATCTGCACAGTAAAACACCATCTACCTTCAGGGAAAACAGGGCCTTTGAGCCTCTGGCAACACTTGCTGGCCATGTGTAACAGTAACAATAATGCACCATAAAGATTCAAGATCAGGATTAAAGGGAAAAGCACCATAGAAAAGCAATCACAGAATAGCAATTATCTGACAATATTGCTCAACTTTGAATAGACATCACCAATTAGGAAACAAAATGTTCTGTAAGACATTGGAGAAGAGTCCTGCAAAGCCCAGGACTTCATTTTCAACTCAAATACATTATCAATGTAAAATTTATGTCTTTTTTTTTTTTCTTTTTTAAAGACCAATGGTTGAAATCCAGCCTCACATTTAAGCCCACTATATTCTCTCCTTAAAGGAAAAGCCTCTACACACTTAAGATTTTTAAATGTTTGCAATTTAATAATTCATTCATTTGTACTAGTCCTTAATAATCAATCTTCATAGCCACATCTTTATATCAGCAATTATCTCAGACACACCTTGTGACAAGACTTTCAACATTACGACAAGAAACTATGCCTTCAGGAGCATGTTTATTGTGTTTGAGATGATACATCAGTGCTCTCTGAGCTACAAAGGGTAAAAGGAAATCCTCTCATTACAAACTGACAAAGGTAAAAGGTAAAACATTTTCACAACAGCATGAACCACATACTCAGAAATAGATCTGGGCTTAATACAAATGACATAATTCCTAGTCATCTACAGCTACTTTTATAACTTCATACAGATAATGAATTAGGCTAAAATGCACTATAATATTTGGTAGACTTCAGGACCAGTATCCTTAGTACATCACAAAATACATTTTGATATCCCAAAGAAGCAAGACTTGCAAGTAGGCATTTTAAACGTAACTAATCTACAGCTACAAAGTTCTACTCTTGATAGCATTTACCTTTTGGGGGAGTCTCCCAGTCTCCAAAGGATAAAGGCAGAGAGTAGAATCAGTATAACATATACACAGAAGTCCGTATTGTAAAGGCTATAAAGATCCGCAGCACAGTGGGAAGAGGCCTTCTGCTCCTTCACACTGCATACAAATCATGAGAATTATGTTGCGTATCTCTTGGTCCACTGTCTGGCTATCCTGTCATGTTCTGCTCTGTTGGTCAAATACTGAGTTGCTATGCTTCCAACCAGAGGATCCGCTAGAAAAGTGAAACATTAAAAACATCATTAAAACATCATGTGTGATTTCAATGTACAGTTCTAAAATGGCATTACATTAAAGTTACATATTGGTAGCACTTTTTAATATAGAATGTTTTGATTTTTTTCCTAAGAAAATAATTTAACTGGCTATTTACTTTAATATTAAGAAAGTCAATGGTAAATTAATAATTTCTTAAGAGATATATTTTATTTAACAAGTATTTCAAATTTTACTGAAAATCATAATTGACTACTGTATTTACATTATTTCTACTTACGTCTCTCCCTGAACCATGGACTCAAATTCGAGGCCTCTTTCTTTCATTATCATTGTTACATATATGTACATCCTCCCCCGTTTTAGTTCCATGTGTTTAGGGCTAATCTTTAGAAGAGATATATTATTGCTCCTAAGCAGCCAACTGATTGTAGTTCTTCATTTACAGTAGGGACTTGTGATACACACACACATAGACACACAATGCCATGCAGACTGCTCATGTCATTCATTGTGCATGTCTTGCTTAGGCAACCTAAATTATTCTGTTGTGATATCATGTATACAGCAGCCCTGTCACGTTATTCTTGACATTTTATTCAACTATGGAAGTGTGGTAGAGAGGCTGCATTTCTGTAATGTTATGCATCTTAGCATAGGTTTTACATAAAGCTTCCATCCTCTAACATTCCAAATGAAATGCTCCCTGATGAACACACAGTTATGTCTCCCATTATAAACATAAACCACTAAAAAACTTACCTGTCATTTCATTTTAAATATTTTGAAGTAAAAATTGAATCTGAGATAAAAACTGTTATAAGAAAGTATGTGTACATGGTACATGCAGAAACTGTTCCAAATAAAGCCAACACATAATAGTATAAGAGCTTTCCCTTCTAGACTCCAAAGATTCAGGCTCCTTCCCTGGCAAACAGCTACTAACACTTTTAATTTTTTTTTTCCAGATATTCTATACATGCCTTATATCCAGGAATTAACAATGAATGTATCTTTTCAAAACCCCTTTATCTTGACATACTAGTTCTTAAAGACTGTCATCCTGTAACTTAAGAATTGTTCCATTCTTTAATAGTTACAGTCTCTTAGTGGACACTCAGGTTATTTCTAATTGTCTGCTTAAACAAATAAACAATTAATTATCTTCTCCTTGAGTCCTTTCAAGTCTAAAGCCAAGCATACACAGTAATAACATGTGAAACTCTAGGTCTAAACATGACTCTAACAAGTCTAGCACCCGTGTTCAATTTCTTATGAGGCATTTCAGAAGTCATTAATTATACATTAACTTTGAGATACAGTTAACAATCTAGACTGATATATGAGTTGTAACTCCAATATCCCTTACCATTCTATTTATTAGAATTAGTTTTAATACAAAAGGAGAGAAACCCTCAGTTACTGGGAGAGTACAGTAAAGCACATGGCAACATGGAAGGAAAGGAATCAAGAGACACTGTTTAAGCCTGACAGAAATGATCTGTACAGCCTCACAGGTTAGAAAGTAGAAGTTCTACCCTACTCCAAATGACTTGACAGATTTTGATGATCTCTCCAGGAAGGCATCAACCTCCCTGTGCAGTGGGGGTGGGAGGAGGGTTGGGGGGGACATGGGAGGAAGGTAGAGCGAACTGGGATTGATATGTAAAATAAGAAAGAAAGAAAAAAAAAAAAAAAAACAGGAAAGTAGAGGTTCCATAGCTGACAGTACAAAAATAATCACAGAGGAAGGAATATCACTTTAGCTATATAAAGATGTGTTACATTTGTTTCTATTGTCTTCGTGAATACTGAAAAGATGTGTTTCATTTGTACTGCATTTGTTTAATTATGTAAAGATGTGTTGCTGTTTCACCTCCTTGTATAAGGCTCCTGGATTGATCCAGTAAAAAGCTGAATGGCCAATAGCTAGGCAGTAAAAGGATAAGAAGGGCTGTGGGGGGGGGGGGGGCAGGGCAAGAGAGAAAGAGAGGGACATGCCAGGGACCTGGTAGCCAGCCAGCCACCAAACAGACACACAAGCACTGGAGGGAGGGAGGGAGGGAGGGAGGGAGGGAGGGAGGGAGGGAGGGAGGGAGGGAGGGAGGGAGGGAGGGAGGGAGGGAGGGAGGGAGCAAACAGGGCGCCCCAAGGCAAAACATAGATAAAGAGAAAAAGATTAACATAAGGACTAAAGTAAGGCCAAGCATAACTGATAGTAAATCTCCATATCACGATTTGGGAGCTGGCTGGTGGCCTAAAAGAAAACCTGCTACATAACAATAACAAACTAAAGTATTACTAACAAAGTTTTGGCCTAGTGTCTAATTGAAATAACATTAGTTTCTCAGAATTACCTTTGGTGTTTTGAGAGAGGGTCTCACCAGATAGCCCCAGCTAACTCAGAAGTCTATATGAAAAGTCAGTCTCAGTAGTCTACTTAACCCCCATGCCTAGACCTCAAAAATATCTTATGCTGACTCCCTATAATATTTATTTCTTGACCAACATTAAATTAACAAGTCTTATTTGTAGATTTACAAAGATGTGCTTACCAGGGTTGCAGTCTGTCAAAAGAGAACAAATTGAGAGCAAAACCTTTGAAATAGTCAAAGCAGGACTCCAGTTGTCTTTTAGAATATCCAGGCAGATGACTCCCTGACTGTTGATGTTGCAGTGATAGATTCTGGTTCGGAAGGTAACCTATACATGGTCACAGTAGAAACAGGAAGAAAATAGGGCTTTCAACAATTCATCTCAGCAGTAACACGTCACAGGTGATGCTGACAACAAATAATGAACCAGTGCTACTGTTAGGTTGGGTGTAATAACAATAAGTTTTGTTATTTATTTATTTATTTATTTATTTTTGCTGCTGTTGTTTTGTTTTTAACATGAGGTTTCTAGATTTATAGCTCTGCTTGGTCTAAGCTTGCTATGAAGACCAGGCTGGTTTCAAATTTACAGCAATCCTCTTGCCTCTGTAGTACATGCCTATACACCCAGTACTCAGGAAAAAGAACAGGAGGGATATGATGGCTTAGGGGTGGGGTCAGCTTAGTGGGGTGTTAGACAATTTCCACTAACAATGCTAAGAAAAATGTAATTGTAAATGGCAATTCCTTGTATACAAATATATCCTGTTAACTCTCTCCCGTATTTTTTCTAGTTTGTTAAAACCAATTTCCAATATTAAAAACTAGGCATGTAGAAGGATCACTATTTATAAAAATAGACATAAAGTTTACTAAAGTTTTATTATACAGAAAACAACCAAAGAATAAAACTTCAGTAGACAGTAATAAGCTGACATTAAATACGTATCATTCACATGAGGATCCAATGTGTAGCACCATAACAAGAGAGTGCTGACCCTTGATTAGACTTAGAAAGGCAGGCCTACATACCTGAAGAGCTTATAAAGATAACTTTTAGGACTTAGATTCTAATGGGCCAAACTGTAAAATACCGAGTGAGGTAAACCTAGACCGAGAAAGACAAATATGGTATGTATTTACTTATAAGTGGATATTAGCTATTAAGTAAATGGTTATCAAGCTACAATCCCATAAACTAGAAAGGTTAAGTACAGAGGGCTCTAGAGTGAACAATGCATGGGCAACCCTGGGAAGGGGAAATAGAATATTTTGCAAGTGGACTAGGGGTTAGAGATGAAAGCAGGAGGCATCAGGTAGTGGTGGTAGTAGGGGGGTGTGTCTGTCTGAATTTGTCTGTGGGTATGTGAGTGTAGCGTGTGTAGGGAGAGACAGCTGGAGGACTCTTAGTAATGGAGGATAAGGAGTCTTTGTAGCCAGGCAAGTCTTCCAGTGGTGAGATTAGGTTGCATTCAGTTGAGCTGTTGGCCCAGATCCCTACATAACCCGGGTTGATGCAAGGACAGACAGTTACTCTCCACATAGTGACAGCAAGGCTGGGTTGCTGAGGACAATATCCTCATTAACTCATTGAATGTAGAAGTCTTCACCCCTACTTTCTAGCCTCTTTGATGTGGGAATATACTCTGCAGGCTATGGAAAGAGAAACCTGAATATGAAACCAATCCCCAAACCCATAGGCCATACAATCTGTCCTGCCTGCTAGATGTGCTGGGGAAATGGTGATGGAGAACATGTGGAAATGGCCAAATAATGTTTGCTTTAACTTAAAGCCCATGCCAGAAGGAACCCATGTCCTATGCTGCCTGGGTGGCCAGGAACTAGAGAATGGATAGCCCAGAAACTTAGGGTTGTACAAAACATGACTGACAAAGGACAAAAAACAAAACTATGCCATGATTCCTAATGATATTCCTCTATACTCATAATTGTATACCATGCCCAGTCATCACATCAGAGAGGTTTTCTCTGGGAGCAGGTGAGAGACTTATAGCCAGATATGTGGAAAGAGTCCAAATTAGAGGTCTCCATCAGGTCCCTTACCTTGGAGACTGGGGAAATCTCATGGGGTGGGGAGATTATAGGAGTCATAAGGTATAGCAGACACCAGAAGAAGACGACCTTCTGAATCAACTAAACAGAGTTCATATGGGTTCACAGAGACTGAAGTGGATCTGAACCAGGGCCTCTGTATATATGTTAGTTATTAGCTTGGTGATTTTGTGGGGCTCCTAATACTGGAAGCAGGTTTGTCTCCAGTCCTTGCCTGTTCTTGAGACTCTTTTTTCCTGTTGGGTTACCTTGTCCAACCTCAATATGAGAGCTTTTGTCTTTTCTTACTGCATTTTGTTTTATCTTGTTTGGCTGTCTTCTCTTGGGAGGCCTGCTCTTTTCTAAAAAGAAAACTGGAGAGAAAGTGGATATGGGGGAGAGGAGAGGTGGAGGGAAAGGGGATGGGAGGGGTAGAGTTTGGGGAAACTGTGATGGGGATGTACTGTAGGAGAGGGAAGAAGGGACAGAGGGAGAGAGGAAGGGAAGGAGGGAGGGAGGGAGGAAGGGAGGGGAGGAGGGAAGGAGGGAGAAGAGAGAGGGAGGGAAGGATAGGGGAGAGAGGAAGGCAGACAGGCAGACACATTCCTGTTTTGAAATTGAGGTAAACACCACTAGGTGGGACTGTGTTGAAATATGTTAGAGAATACTTTCCAGTAAATGTCCTTTCTAAAAATTCAGTCTTTACAGACACAGACATCCAATAGACAAACAGATATCTCTCTCTCTCTCTCTCTGTCACACACACACACACACACACACACACCATTAAATATATTTACAGACTTTTAGTATTTAAAAAGCATTTCACACAGAGAAATCCCAGAAAAATCAGAAACTTACTTGGTCTTTTGTTTGTTTATCTAATGTTATTTTGTTTTAGGTCCCTGTTTGTGTCCCAAGGAGAAAGAGAAAGAAAAGGTGGATTTGGGTTGATGGGGAAGGAGGGCAGATCTGAGAGGAGTTGGGGGAGGGGAAACCATAACTAGAATGTATTACATTTAAAAAAAAGTATGCAATTGAAAAAAAGGGGGTAGGGGAAACACTTTACTAGTTGGGGGCCATAATCCTGTAAAGCTTCCTGGCACACTGGTTTCCTCTGTAACAAACTCAGTTACAAAGACTAAGCTCCAGGTTTTTTACTTGAGTACTTTATAATGAGAAGTCAGAGGAAGAATCCCTTTAAATAAGTATCATGTTTCCTGTTTGTTACCCAGCTGGACACTCAGGTTAAATGAATTAAGAAGGGAGAAGTGAGCCTGCCACTCTACTTTACACTACACTCACAGAAGGCAAAAAAATGACTGTTGATAAGGATTAGTTTTTCCTTTTGTCAGTTTTCTAATTTTTGCTCATCTATAAATAAAGACTAAATCCTTATTATTAACCTATTTCTGAAAGCTGTCAATAAGGTTTGTTTCACAGAGGGAGTTTCACATAAGTTCCTATTTATGTTTTAGTCAATGTACAGTTTTATTTACTATTAACAAACTATTTTGAATAAAATTATTTTTAGAAGGCAGAAGTCTACTAATTCATGAGCAACAATGAAATACAATTACATTAATATAAATTCTAAAATTTTTATATAATATATACATATATATGTGTGTGTATGTATATATAATATACATATAAATTCTAAAAACCTGAGTTTAGGAGAAGGATAATTAATCAATGTATATCTAGGTTCTTACCTTTGGTGGCTTAAATGGATAATCTGAAGAAAATGTGATATCCAGAAAAAAAACACCACCTTCATATACAGAACCTGGTGGACCAAGTATAGTTGATCTCCATTCATAAATGTTATCTCCTTTAGGGCCAGCACTATTTAAAAGAAATCAAAAATCAATATACACATCCTATATAAACACCTACATACACGTCTATAAAAATTTAGGTTAACACCTTAAAATGAATGCAAAATTAGAATTAAAATAAATAAGCCATCTGAAGCAATGAGACTAATTAAATGTGTCCAGGCACACATGCATACATTTTTAAATATTCCTAATAAACAGCAATTACAATGAAAACACAAATACTATATAACTTTACCCAATAACTCATGTTATCCTTTTTCTATTTGCCTCCTTTTCTCCCTCCTTCTCCTGCTACCCCCTATACACATACACACATGCATTTTAAGTTGCTTACATTGTTATTCTTTCCATATAAACATTTAACATGTACCCTTCTGAAAAATAATTTACAAATCAACAGTTACAATTTCAGTAAGTATGTCATCCACAGTAATCTATAATTTGTATGATAAAATTGTCAACTAACTCTGTAATATACTTAGTATTTCCCTCAGGTACAAGATCTTGGGATCAAGAAAATCTTATATCTTATACTTTTAATATATTCTGTGACAGGATTTTACTATGTAACCCCAGGCTGGCTTAGAACTTGCAATACTCTTGCCTGCACATTTGTAGTGCTATTAATTGCCTACTTCACCATGTGTACTTCACCACACCCACTTATGCTCTATGCCTTAACTTTCCTTTAACATGAGTCCTACCATTACTTAATTTTCCTAACTTTTATTTGACAGGATATAGTCCCTTTAAAAAAAAATATTTAATAATAAGTTCATAGAACCATTTGAGTCTGTCTGTGGTTCTCTTATCATGAAACTCAAGCAATATACTCCTAACCAGAAAAGTAAGTAAGTGGTATGTCATTTGGGGGTCATGACAAGCACATAACATGGTGTCCTTTTCCTTAATGGTGATGATAAGCTTCACTCATAGATACGTTCCAAATTTCCTATTGCTTAGTTACTATCTTTTCCTGCAACCAATATGTATTCTTTGGTCAGATTACAACCATGCAAATAGCCTACTCTTCATTCAAATTCCTCTAGATTTAACACTCATTTGGAGTCCTCTGAACTTTACTATGACATTGGCATAATCATGATTTTTCAACTTCACTCCTCTCACTTAATAGCTGTCTTGAGCCCTGTCTTGCCCTAAATGTTTGTCATTTATGTTACTGATATGGTCTCCTAAATTACTACATCTTTTCAATGCTTTACAATTTACTACTGCTTGTAATTATTTTGCTGCTTGAATCATCCCAGATTTGCCCAGTGGGAAAGCCTACAATATAGTTCCAACAGGCTACTAACATGCTGACATCATTTTAGAATCCATTCTTCCTTTCTGGCATGAAAAGACGCTCTACTCTTCCAGCCCTGGAATCATCTTCAAGAACCCTGGGCGCTTGTAGGAGAAATGTTAAGAAATCAAGACTTGAATTCTACTGAACCACATTAACATTTTAATGCAATGTGCTCAATATCAATATCATTTATGGAATAAAAATGAACCGTTCAATATAATTTAAACTCACAATTTATGGTCAGTAATGCAACTCTATGATTCCTATAAACATCCTTCAAGTACACCTTATAAATTGTTATTTTCCTCTATTTGTTTAAATTTTCACTCATACCTTTAATCATGTATATGGGGTGGTGAGGGGAGGGAGGACACGTACACATGAGTAAAGGTGCCCACAGAGTCTAGGAGACAGTTTCATACACTCTGGACTTGAGGGCCACCTGACACGGGTGCTGGGAATCAAATTCAGATCCTCTGCTAAGGCATCACATGTCCTTAATGGCAGAAAGATATCTCCCACCCATTTTCTTCTAGGTTTTTACACCACAAATTATCTTGACTTTCTAAATGTAAGTATGCATATGCTTTTGTTCGTTTAAACTACCCATCAAATTAGAAATGATCTAGAGGTCTTACTTAAATAATAATTGTGAAACAGTACTGCAACCATATTAATAGGGGCATCAGTTTAACTACATTTTATTATTTCTGGGAGACTGACACTGCAAAACTAGAAAGCTTCAGAAGATAAAAAATCTCAAAGGCTATTCTATAGTCTCAAATGTTTCCATTTGTTTCTTTAATTTCACTGTCCCTACTTCTATTCTCCCAGCAGACTTTGCAAATACTTATGTAAGTACCCAAATATATAAGACCCAACTTCCAAATAACCAAATTGCCTCAGAACACTTACAATCAAACTATTTCAGATTGCTGAACAGAAGGTAAGCTGAAGTCAATGCATTTTAATGAACTGTACTAGAATTATAGACTGAAAAGATGGGAGATTTGGACAAATCTACCAACCCTCGAGGAAATCAAGATGGACAGGGTAAAGAATCCATCTTAAATCCCATTCCCAATGTGAAACTAAACTATTGATCTAAAGTTTGCTTGTTTTCTCTCTTATGCTACATGAAAAGGGGTTCATTTAACCCCGTTACAGCAGGACAGTAAGTGTAACAGAAACACCTGGCCTAAGGAGTCTCCTCATCCCTGAGCGAAACAAGGTTTCTCTGTATTGTTTTGGAGCCTGTCCTGGAACTAGCTCTGTAGACCAGGCTGGCCTTGAATTCACAAAGATCCACCTGCCTCTGCCTCCCAAGTGCTGGGATTAAAGGTGTTCACCACCAACGCCTGCCTAAGGATTCTATTTTTATTTCCATTAAGGCATCATTTGGAATAGAGAGAGGCTGGGACAGACCCACCAAGAGGTTTGGGAAAGGGCAGCTTCAGGACTGAGTCCATTAACTCAAAGATTTCATAGGCTAGCAGCAGACCTGCCACTGAGGCCTCACAACTGAGTGGAGAAGGGGGGGGGGGCACAACCATTTCCTGTTATCTTTTCTGACTGATCTCCATTTTTTCTGTTTCTGTCCCTTCCACAGAGCAGAACTCTACAAACTTCCACTTTGCCTTATACAGTCTTAGTTCCCTCCCAGGTGAACAACATCAACATCCACAAGAATCCCTCAATGCCATCCAAACATGATTAAAAAAAAAAAAAAAAAGAAAGAAAGAAAGAAAGAAAAGAAACACAAAATCAAAAACAATAAAAGAAACCTGTTTCTCTAAACTTTCCAACTTTCACCTCAAACTACTGTTCCTTTAATAGAAAAACATCCTTCAAACTTTTGTGGCCTCAAGCCCACAGCAATTTGACTTGGCTTTGTGATAGGATTGTAATCAGGTGCTACCACTTCCAGCTTTATCTGTTGTTGCTATCACCAAGATCCTGTTAGCATCATGTTAAAAATCAAGTTTCAACTTCAGACTTAGCTATCTCAATGGTTATTTTATATTTTTGAATTTTGCATTCAATTTCATGTGGAATGTGGTTGGTTCTCAACTACCTTTCTATGTCTTAAAAAACAGGTAAAATTTAGTAATAATCAGAAATAGCCAAAGAAACAAGCACTTCACAGCTATAAATTGGCCTTAATTATGTTTAGAATCACATAATTTGTACATAGCCCATAATTACACAGAAATTAATGTATGTGTATTTTGCTGTCTAAGAGATGATGCTATAAGAACAAATTAGGAAGACAGTGATATGGAAATATTATATATATATATATATATATATATTTTCTGTATCATAATTGAAAAAATAATTAACTGAACAAGTAGCTAACCCTCTGAAAAACAAGTTCAGTAAAAGAACATCATTAAAGTCTATCTCATCTACTACTCACAGAATTTATATGTATCTGTCATTAAGGAATACTACAGAACTGATTCATTTCATTTAAAAATAAATAATCCTAGAAATGAAGCTATTTACTATAACATCCCTAAAATAAGCAGTAATTTATTTTATCTAACACTGATACATATCCCCAAAAGAGGCAATCACTACAGCCTCTTAGCTACAGAAGGAAAGGAAGAGCTTAGAAAAAAAGAACCCTCAAACTAGATGAATCTTTTTAGGATAATTAAGAAGAGTGAAACAAGGAAGTTCACCAAAAACCCACCAGTTGGTTGCATACATTCCCAGGATTACGGTAAGGTTCAATAAATAAATGTTTATGCATTCAAAGAATATTAAAAGTACAAACACTAACATTTAGGGAGTACAAAAATCACATAAAACCAAAATTAAAATATTCATTAAAAAATACATCTGCTAGTCACTGTGGTACCACCTGTAATTCTAGATAGCACTTTGCCCTTCTATGTTCAAAACTTCCTGTGTCCTATTTCTTCCCAAATTTATGACCTCCTCTTTAGTTACTACTAACATATGTACATATGCTCATACATATATCCATGTATGTAGCCTATTGTATCCATTTACTGATGTTCTTATGTACATGTATCCAGGATGACCACTTGAAATTCAGAAGTCCATCCCTGGAAGGAACTGTTTCTCCCTCTCTCAGCAGCCACTGACTACCTATCATCTAAGAGAGGGCCAGGTGGAATTTCTCCTGTCCACCTTGGCATGTCAACTAATATTATCATTATGCCAGTCCTGCCCAGGGACCATAGTGTTCAGATTTCATGGGTGCCTTTTCATTGTCATATTTAAGGGACACAATCTCCCAGTAGGTGTTCTGGGCCTATTGGTTCTTATAACTTCTATGCCCCACGCAGAAGACAAATGCCACAGGTTGTCACTTGGAGACCTATCTCCAAATCCTTAGATTTGGGTACATAGCCTGATACATTTGAAGAAGTAAGGAAAGAGAAAAGAACCATAGTGAAGAAGGTGCTTAGGAGAGTAGTAGTTTGAGAAATGGGAATAGGAGACAGGTGCTCCAATGGGGCAATGGGGAAAATGTGGGAACAATTTGAAACTGAGGAAGGATATAGGAAGAGTAATAAAGAGAAAGGGGAAGGAAGGAAGGAAAGATAATACCAAGGATATTGAAAAAGACTGTCCTAAAATATAGAAGCATACACACATACACACACTCCATTTGCAAGATCATGTTTATGAACAAATTAATATTTCTGGTAGTTAGATGT